AATACAGACTTAAGTATAAAGCCCTCTCTATTGCTATAAGAAGTTACTAACAAATCGTCTGTGCCCACAGGGCAGGCACGATCCACCTCTGCTGGACTCCGAGCTGTTGATCCGGGAACACACGTCTCTCCCTGTGACTAATGCGCATGGGATCAAGGAGGAAGCATTAACCTCCAGCAGAGAAAGTACAAAGCATACAGGGAAATGCTTATTTGGGCACTGGATAAAGTGCAACATTACAGCATCAGAAAAACACGCTTCTGCAGACAAATCAAGGACACTTGAGTCCTCTTGTTTCTAGAATTTGCTATAGTGTCTCAAAGCTTCCAGGCAAAACATGTAGTGTCACCCTTCATCTTGAGACATTATTGCACTCATACAGTTTTGCTGAGATGTGGGAACGCTACAATGTAACTGACCAGAGAGGAATGAGAAAATCTGTTTCAAGGATGCTCATCTCCCCTCTTTTAAGTTCCATGATGATTTCTCCCAGTAGGAATCATTAATAAATTCCATAAATGGAGAGCCAAAAAACACACAACTTTCTATTGTTGTGGAATAAAAGCATTTGTAAAAGATTAAACATCAAAACATAAGTTTCCTTGTGAAGCTGAAGAACTAAGAAACATTAACAAATAGCTCACATGGTCAAGTGTTTGGATAATATATAACCTGAGGGCAATAAGTATCGTCAGGAACTGTGAAAATCAAATCTGTGATTGCCTTCAAATTTCCACGTTACTCACATGTGAGAGACGTCAAACTGCTGAATTAGTGACAACGTTTCACTCCGGAGTCACCCGAAGAGCAAACTGCACACAGGTTCGCGGCTGAACTCTTCAACAGCTATCAACGCTTGAAAAAAGGCGTCACGGTGAAGGGAAATTGAAGAAGCACCGGACACAAATTCACTGTGTAACTCTTAGAAAGTCTCTCTGCTGAGCAGCAGCGTGCACAAACCCACACTGACATTCTCTGTCACTCCTCCTCCTGTGAATGTGTGCACAAAAGAGCTTCACAGTTGAGCTGAAGAGTCCTGCCCTTAACTCCTCCGACTCCTCAGAGGACACGGGGGGAGAGAGAAAGTGAAGACTAAAAGGGCCAAAGTTTGGACCAAATAACTGAACTGTGGTTCACAAGCCTAGTGGAATATATGCAAAACGTTTTTCTGAGGCAAACCCTAATCACTTGAATCCCTCTATTTAACTTTTCATCCAACACTTCACTTAATAAACAGTTTTTTTAACTGTCTCGTAAAAAAAAATATCTCTCTTCAGCCTTGTGCAATTTTTTTTCTCTAGATACATCTCTCACGATTTCTTTTTCTCCTTATCAGTCATCTCTCCCTCCTTCTCTTTCCAGTTATTTCAGAAATATAGCAGGGTTGGCCAACTGAGGAGATGAGTACATAATAGTAAACAAAAAAACCCCCAAAAAAACAAACACACAATGTCCGTCACACCGCAAAGGACTCTCAGTACAAAAATAAATGAATACAATCCACCCTTCACTGAAGCTGAGAGTTCAGGCTGTGCTGCACATCGGCTCCTCACACAGATTCCTGAAGTAACGAGACCATTGCAGAGCAACAAGCTCGCAAAGAATTCAAGCAATGAGGAAAAAATCAAAAAAGTAAAGTATCAAGTCTCCCTGGGTTGGACAATACTCGTGATATAGTAGCCAGACAGCTAATGAATGAGCTAATGAATCATTGTGATGCAGCTAAAAAAAGTCACTTCTGACATGCCCTGCAATGCACCGTCTCTCAGTCTGATTTAGGTTGCGCTGTTTGACTTCTCTGACTATATTTTACCTAATCGTGAACACCAGGATACATCTGGAGACATCCACACAAACAAAGCTGTGGCTGAGAGCTCATGATGACCTGAATGAAGGGGTCAAAGTGTAAGATTAAAAGTTTTTCTCATCTTTTTCTTGGATCTTAGCGATGGCTGAGACTAGATAAACCCCAGTGTGGTCATCGCAGCTCTGCATGCACAGCAGCTCCACCCATCCGCTGTTAAAACCTTCTGTTTTGCAAGGAGCAGCCAATCGAAAGGAAGCTGGCTCAAAGGAATGTGTCGTGCAAAGGAGAGGAGTTTAAATGGCTTGCTGTAGAGCAAAGATAAACTGAGGGTGCATTTGAATTATTCAAAGCCACTTTAGCAGGTTCCAGGAATAAAATATGGGGCTGTAAATGAGAATAATTCAAGAAATATAACCAGGAGACTCAGAACTTACTCCACCATGACTGAAATTTGACTGGCTGATTTGCATGGGCTGAACCACTGAAAGAAGGCAAAATGTACCTTAGTTATTGACATGCATGCTGTCCAAACTCATCATCCGATGAGAGACTGCCTTTCTAATATTTGACCATACTTTTTTACTAGGCTATGAAGCAACACAAACCGTGTCCTGTCCAAACTTTCATTCACAACACACCTCTATAACACTGCATAACTAAGGGAATAAATAACGAAAGAAGGAAAAACTGTAGGCACAGTGCTGTAGGCTAGCACAGGAATTTGCATGGGAGTAATACCACAGATGACCGCTGACTTTATTACAAAGTATTAGAGGTCCACAGGTAATACTACTCATGTCTAAATCAGGCTTTTGAGTGCATGTAAGGTTATAGTTGTGTATAGTCAGTTGTGTAAGTGTTGTTTTGGATGTTGCTTGTTGTGCTGATGCAAGGTGCAGGCATGACAAGAATCCCTGAGCTAAAACTAACCCACAGCAGCTGAAACTGTTTTTATGCAATAAACATACTAAAAGTCAACATCAATCTTTGGAAACTAACAGCCACAGAGACACCACTTACCCAGAGTTGATCCCAACAAAACATCAGCCCTATAATTTGAAGCTTTATGTAGTGCTCTAATAAGCTAAGGGATCATGCAAGTAGCCTTGTGCTTTCCCAGCAGTGATCCCGACAGCGTGCAAACCCAACAACAACTCTTTTTCTTTCTAAGACTCGTGGAGATGTAAATCCAGAGCTATTTTTCCCTTCGGCTCTAAAAGTCACTCTTTCAAAGGAGCTAATTGCCTTTTCAGCACCAACAAGTGTGAAGCCAAAAAACAGTGGAAACACTTTAATTTATTGGAAACACTTTTTCCTATCTAGTCTGCGAATTATTATTTTTTCTTTAATTTAAAAGCTATTTCCACACTGAGCCCATTTGAAACCGTGCATCAGTCTGACGGTGCTGGCCGAGTAGTCACAGCACAAAAGGCTATTAAGGGATCACCTTTGAAGTCTTATCGACTACTTCAAACTCGAGTGGCTAAAAAAACAAAGTATGGGTGTGTGTGTGTGTGTTCCACATGTGCAGATGCTTACTTATATCATGCGCGCGAGTCTGTGATCTCATTAAATTCTAATTCAGATTTGACCACAGTATCATCATCAGATGACAGAAGGCAAGATGAGACAGACGGCTTGGACCAGACTGGTCTGGACACACAGATAATTTACACACACACACACACACACACACACACACACACCTTCACTGAAACAGAGTGAGCGGAGACTTACACCTGTTCTATTTTAGTAGGGCCTATTTCAAGCTGCCGCCAAGTGTTGGGTAGACACTTTATGAGCAGTGATAGAAGGAAGCCAATTGACCTCTGACCTTTAACTATTTGGGCAGTTAATAAAAAAATGCTGGAATGTTGTATAAAATGTTTGTTAAAAGAAAAAGACCTCTTTTTTTTTTTAGGATTTTTTAAATATATATGGTAATTTTGAATTTGTTTGAATGTTTCTTCTTTTAACCACACTAAGTTAGAGTTTTAGAACTGTGGAGACCATGTGCTGTAGTTCTGACAGCCAAATGCTCTGTTATTATTGCTCAAGATTGGATTGTGGCTGTTCAGCAGTCCAGGACCTGCTTTTGTTACACACTACATGGACAGAAGTCCTGGCCCGCCTACACAGTACACCTACAGGAGCTGCCACGAAGCTCCCGGAAACAGTTTTTATGCTGATATTAATAAAAGAGAAGATTTTGAACTACTAACCTACATTCTGAGTCAGCAGAATGTTGGTGACTTTTACACACAATGATGTTCCTCGGCATGTGGCGACTCCACTCTATAACTTTACATGGTCTTTACATGTCTCTTAAACGCTTCCACATTGGAATAATATAGCTTACAGCTGAGCCCTGCTATTTAAAACATGCAGAAAGTGATTTGGTATTGTCTTGCTGAAGTATGCAAGGGCTTCTTTGAAAAAGACACCAAATGCATGGAAGCATATGTTGCTCCACTTCGTTCTGCTTTAACTGGGACCCCAACAGATAACAAGCTGGATGGTTCCTCCTCTCTTTGAAGGACTTGGAGTTCTCGGGGTTTTTTGTTGTTTGTTAAATCCGAGACAAACCCATCTAACGTACGGTGCTGTTTCTAAGGGCGTAACATTGCTTCCTTTTTTGGGTGGCATAGAAAGCAGCACTTTGGTTACAGAGTGACCACGGCTCCCTCAAAAGGAAGCTTCTGTCCATGCCTGTGGCTGAACCCAGGAATGTCTCACACTGTGCTCTGGAAAGCGGTTAAGTTCGGTCCCAAGGGGCCCTCGGTTTCTCTGTGGTGATAATTTCACCACAAATGAATTCAGCGGTAGCGATGCCTCTCCTTCCTTTCAAAATACAATCCAACATTTACATTTGCAACCTAAAAACTTGGTAATGCAATTTTGGGGTTATTTTTGGTATTTGTAGGGCAAAATCTCTGAATGGAAAAGATCTGAATGTGTCCTCTGTATCTGTATGGTGGGTTCGGCCCATGATTTAGTCCATGACTTCAATAATCCACACAGTTTATAATAAATTAGAAAATTTGTGTAAGAAAATTATTCTATAAATCTCACATGAAATCTGACTGAGAACTATCATATGGCACATCTATAAAGAGTCAGTGGATCTGACGCATTGTAACACCTGAATTCTACACGGTAAAGTTTGAAGGATAAGCATTCCTACCATTTTCACCTTCTGTGGTGTCCTCGCAGTTCTGATTGAAGTTTTCGTAGGAGTCCCAGCGGATCAGGGGATCTTGAGTGTTGTAGTCGACTGAGACACTCGGCCCGTTCTCCAGGTGGTCCACACCTTGACCAGAAGTACAAAGAGGCAGAGCAGAAAATGTGAATGTCTTTACATCTGGAAAAGGGAAAAGCTATTTTTATCAGAATCAAGGAAAAAAATTGAGATTCAGAATTTATATTGAGATAATTGTTTTCCCTATTCGATTACATTCAAGACCCTGCGCTAAACTGACAAGCTTTTTTTTTTTTTTTTAAACCTGGCTGGATGCTATCATCCTGTCTCACTTTTCTACCTGAAACTGTAAACTACACATGAAAGATTGACTGGTCTGGTGGTTTCTTCCTGTTACCAGGGATTTTTTTTCTTCCCACTGTCACCAAGTTACTGTTCCTCAAGGATCATCATGTTGTTGGAGTTTTCTCTCTAACACTGAAGGATCTGCATCTTGAGGCAAGGTGACAGTTATTGTAAATTAAGACAATATAAGTAAAACTCTGCTGAGCTGAGCTGGACTAACAACAGTCTGGCAACCTGTCTGAATTGTACCCCACGTTGCACCCTTTGAAAGGTGGAACAGGCACCAGCCCCAACGCAACCCAGAATTAGATAAGCACTAGAAGAGAGATGGATGGTTCCATTTACAGTTCAGTGGAGTCACTGT